AGAATCTGGCCCTGCACCACTCCACTCCCTGTGAGCCTCTTTCTAGTTCAGCGCATCAAAGTGTAACAGCACCGACCTGGAGCTAATGGGACAAAAGGAAGCGGAAAGGAATGCATTGTAAGTGAAAGCTGGAGAAACAGAGGCTTTGTGCTTGAAGTTGTCAATGTAGTTTCAGAATCACAGTTTGCAAACCTGGCTGCCAGGAGCCCCTCTCCCCTTGCTGTTCAGCCTTAGGTTTATCTCCAGCCTTCCAGGCACAAGGCACTATATACAGGCAAACCAAAACAAAATGAGTGTCCTTGATTTTCCAAGGACGGATACATGTAGGTAATTCTTTGAAATTTGTTCTTATCAGTTTCCATTGATAAAATTTTCTAAGTGGAAAAGTAACTTAAGTAAAGATTGGGTATCAGTCTTTTTCTGAGTGTAGCGTTTATGTCAGTCTGGAAGGAAGAAGCCCTCCAGAGGCTTGTCTTAAAAGGCTAGATAGGAACCCGGTGCCTTTTGGTGCTAGGCCCCAGTGACAGATTTACTGCCTGCCTGGAGCTTGGCCCCAAGTGATGGAGCGGCAGGTGAAGGCGGCAGCCTGGAGGCCCCATGCTCCATGCACATGTGGACCTGCAGTGTCCAGGGTCACAGTGGGTCAGGCTATGTTTACAGTCAAGGTTGTGTGTGTGTGTGTCGGGGGGCTTACTTCTCTCTTAACCTTCATGGCAAGAAACTTCTTATTGTTCTATTAGGAGACATTCCAACATGTCCAAACCCAAAACAAGCACTGGTGATTTATAAGTAGCAACTATTATGCCTTGTCAAAGTTCCGCAGCATTCAAGAAAACTGAAAGAAAAAGAGGATCTTAAATGACAAATTTAAAGCAAGGGAATTAATGTGTTTGCCTACCTTTTTATAGAAAAACTCAGTAAAAACTAATGACAGGTAAGGTATGGTCATGATGAGGACTGGTGACCACTTTCAGTCTCTTTCCTGCAAGGAGCAGTGATTAGGAAATGAAACATGCAGAATTTCAAGCCTACTCTGCTCACTATGAATTAACCTTGAATTTAAAAGCCATGTTGCGTCCTTGTGAGAGATCTTCTGCAGACATGCAGCAGTGCCAGTTAAACTTACAGCAACTGTAAATGCATCCAGTCCAGAGGAGAAGAGATGATTCCAGGAAACAGTCAAGGGATCTCTTGGACTCAGGGCTTTTATACGATGGGAGAGAATTGGGCAAATACTCCGGCCCAAGGGAATTTGGTGCAAATAACATGGGACAGCATTTCTTCTACAATGATGCTGGCTTTCTTTAGAAAGAGAACATTTTCAACCCCATGCCTTAAGGGACATCCTCAGCCCCAGCCACAATTAAAAACCCATCCTTAGTCTTTAAAATCAGTAGCTGACAAGGGACCAAGGAAGTAAATTCTTTATACAGACTACACCTGGAGGATTATAAAGGATGTGCATGCCAGAAAACAGGAGTCTGGAGGCCAACTTAAAATTCTGCCAAGTACTCTCTCTTGAGAGATCTGTTGTATAGTCAAGGGTGCTGGTAACTACTCAGTTACAAATACAAAATATCTTTATGCGAGTTTCTTTGAGTTAATATCAATTGTTAGACCATGTGATTCTCCAGAGCAGTGAACAGCTTTCACTCTTTTCTCATTCTGCAGTGTCTTTGGGAGCCTGGATCCTGTCCCCAAGTGCTGTGTTAAAGGGCAACCCTCAGCACGCATGTCCGTACTTTCATTCTGAGTGAAGGGCTCCTGATGCCATTCTCACTTTGTGGCCCACTTAAAATACTTATGTTTGCTTTGATGTGCTTGAAAGAGCAGCAGAATTAACTTTGCTCACTGATAGGTGGACGTGTCTGTCTTAGGGATGCTTTTCGAACCCTGAAAATGACATCGAACCTCTGCCAGGGAGGAGAGTGCAGCCTGACCGGGTGGAAACACCGAGTGACTGCACGGAACACTTGCCATGTGTGAGTCGGCAGATAGAGGAGGATGGCGTTGAACCTTGTTGAGTTATGAACAGGGAACTTCCAGACACAGAGGAAAACAACTCCGCATGCTGCCTGTAGGGAAATTCAGCTGATTTGCCTCTTGTTTTTCATCTGCAGTGAAATGCAAAACTTCAAGTATAGTACTTTTTACATGACGTTGTAAATGCCTGTGTATGAGTCTGTCTCTCTTCGGAGATTCACAGAGTGGTAAATACACCTAATATCTTTACTTAGTGTTTGGTGCCAAATACAGTAATAGGCTGACAATAATCACTTATGAAATCAACAAAACAACTAAGTAAAAAGCCTTTTATAGAGTGTTTTGGAAAACCATTATGTGTATGTGTGGTTTTGCATATATATATATTTCATATAGTTATATATTTTATTTAATGTATTGTATATTCTTTTTTTTTGCTCCAGTGTGTAGTAGAAAATAGTTTGTATGATGGGCTGTTTCAAACAGTTAATGACAATAACTCCAATATCAAGAATTCAGAAGCCTTGAGAGTTTGTGAGGCTGATGGAGAATAAGTGCCATAAAGATTTGCGTACTACCCTGTTCAGTGGCTTGGGGCTATTTATGGGTCTTTATTTACCCCTATCAATAAACCAACAGACATCAGCAGTACAAGTATCCCAAGTATCCTTGTATGCACATGTTTTTTCCCCTTCCTTCTTTCTTTCTTTTCTCCTTTCCCTCATCCCAGTTATTCCTTCCCTTTGAGCAATTTCTTTTCCTTTTTATTGTACCTTTTGGGTTTTATTTAGTCTTTCATGTTCTTACACTAGGGAGATAACATGATGTTTACACACGCAGGTCTTTAGTGAAACTGTATTATTTCTAATTTTTTATACTCTTTAATTGTTTGATCAGTCCTGCATTCTTACATCTGGCAATCTGAGAAACTTAGTTGAAGATAAGACTATGTAATATACCAACCATTGTTAATTTCCTATCATCTTGTTTTCAAATTCTGTATCATTTTTCTTGTTTTTGTGTTGTTTTGTTTTTGTCTTTGTTGTTGTTATTTTGTTATGTTTTTCTCTTTAAAATAAAAAAAATATATTTGCTTCTATACTTTGAAAAAAGAATGGGAAAAAATCCAAGCAGTACTCATTGAGGACAACTTCCTTATTTATGAAAGGAGAAAGATCTTAATGTTGTTTTTCCACCTGAAGGTGAGAGAAGGCCTGAACTCTCTTACATTTTGGTTATTGTGTAAGCTAACAGTCCACAGTGTCCTGAGGTCACCTGTCCCTCTACTCCTTGACACACACAGGAAGACTAGGGGCTGGGGATTTAGCTCAGTGGCAAAAGCGCTGCCTGGCA